GATGCCACCCACCATTTGAAGAAGTGGGAACCACAGACTGAGTGGGAAGAGAAATGGTGCATGTGTGTGTAGGCGGGGACTCAGATTTATCCCAGACCTGGATTACAGACACAACCTTGCCTCTGCTAAAGGACTCTTAACACATCTCCTTTCTGGTTTCAGTATCTCTATCATTGCAATAGGAGACTGGATTTCAAGATCTGTAAAGGCCTTCTTGGTATGAATCATTGTGTAAAGGCATGGGGTATGTGTATACACACCACTCTGTCAGAAATCTCTGTGCCCTTGGGACCCCTTCAGCTCTTTATACACATCTTAATACCATGGAGCACCACAGTTCTGGTTACCTGGAGTCACCACATGGTTTTCCCAGTGAACTGACAGCTGGTAGACCCAAAGTTTTCTTAAATCTATCCTTTTATTGAGTGTCTTGCAGTCTTCCAGGTAATGTGAAAATACAAAGCTGAAATATCAAAGCTGATGACTTTGGGAGGTCTGCAGTCCAGCCAGGAGACAACAGGACAAATACAATGTAATTGCCTCAATGGAGGTTAGTCCAAGGCATAGGGAGTCTGGGGAACTCAATGCTGTTCTGTATGGCTGAACTGGAAGATTTCCCTTAAGACTTGGACTTCAGCAGAGTAAAGTGAGTAGGGGTACGTTGGGACAGGGGTGGAGGCTATCTGGTCAGCAGGCCACCTAAAGCCTGCAAAATCATTTTTTTTAATTGATAGGTAGAGATATAGACAGTGAGAGAGAGAGACAGAGAGAAAGGTCTTCCCTCCATTGGTTCACTCCCCAAATGGCCACTACGGCCAGCTCTGCGCTGATCCAAAGCCAGGAGCCAGGTGCTTCCTCCTGGTCTCCCATGTGGGTGCAGGGCCCAAGCACTTGGGCCATTCTCCACTGCACTCCCGGGCCACAGCAGAGAGCTGGACTGCAAGAGAAGCAACTGGGACTAGAACTCGGCACCCATGTGGGATGCCGGTGAAGCAGGTGGAAGATTAACAAAGTGAGCCACGGCGCCGGCGCAAAATCATTTGAATTGGCCTTGCCAAGGCAATCGCAGGTGGGACTCAATATCCAATAAATCTATAGCAGGCTAATTTTTGATGATATTGTATGGCCCATGAAGAATGTTATAAATATCCAAATGGCCCGTGGCAGAAAAAAGGTTCCTCAACCCTGCATGAGAAGCAGCACTGCACAGGCAGTGGATGCGCCCTTCGTAAAGGCGTCTGTGGGAGAGCTTGTGTCTTCTGGCGTCTGCTCACGGTTTAGTGTGGTGAACACTCAGGCAGATTAGCAGCTTGTGAAGAGACTTTTCTGCCACTCAAAGGTCTTTAGGTTTGAAGACAAACTAAAGGGAGTGAATGAAGCATTTTGATCACAGGAAAGCAGTACATCCTTGTCGAATGCATTAGTAATAGTGAAGATGGAGCACCATAATTAGGATTATTTTCCTAAACGTGTGACCTTCAGAAAGTTACCTAACCTCTCTATTCCCTTTTTCTGTGAAATGGGAATTGGGGAAAAAATCTACCTCATAGGGTTTTAGAAATTTAACGGAGAATATACATAATACACTTACAAGAAAGTAAGCCTGGCCCTTGATAAAAGTTTAATTAAAAAAAAAAAAACAAAGATAACACTTGTTTTACAGAATACAAATTACCTGGGGCTGGTGCTGTGGCGCAGCAGGTTAACACCCTGGCCTGAAGAGCTGGCATCCCATATGGAAGCTGGTTCCGGGCCCAGCTGCTCCACTTCTGATCCAGCTCTCTGCTATGGCCTGGGAAGGCAGTAGAAGATGGCCCAAGGGCTTGTGCCCCTGCACCCACATGGGAGACCCAGAAGAGGCTCCTGGCTTTGGATCAGCGCAGCTTGAGCCTTTGTGGCCAATTGGGGAGTGAACCATTGGATGGAAGACCTCTCTCTCTCTCTGCCTCTCCTCTCTCTGTGTAACTCTGGATTTCAAATAAATAAATAAATCTTTAAAAAAAATTACCCAAATGATTTAGTAATGTCTGTGAGCCACTTCTACATCTTTTTTTCTTTATAGCAAAATGGGTCCCCCACTTCTGCCTTTTCATGGTAACTTGTACTTCTCTTTAGAATGTTAAATTTTTTACTAATTTTTACAGCCAAGCTCTTTAAGCACTATCTATAATTGAACTCTTTGTATTCTGTTTCCCCAGCTAGACTCTCAGATCTTCTTTAAGGTCTCACTAGAGACCTTAAAAATTCACCATTTAACAGGCTGGTCTTGACAGATATTCAACAAATGTTGGTGAGAAGTTGAAGTCAGGCTTCTGTTTCAGGACTGTTGTGAGAGCCAACCAACAGAAGAACACTTTATTTGTAAGGTTGTACAGATGCATTTACTTGGGACCAGTGCTGTGGCTTAGTCGTCGGTAAGCCTCGCCAGCAGTGCCGGCATCCCATATGGGCACGGGTTGGAGTCCCAGCTGCTCCACTTCCAATCCAGCTCTCTGCTGTGGCCTGGGAAAACAGTAGAAGATGGCCCAAGTGCTTGGGCCCCTGCACCCATGTGGGAGACCCAGAAGATCTTGGCTTCCCATGGGCCCAGCCATTTGGGGAGTAAACCAGCCAATGGAAGATCTATCTCTGCCTCTCCAATAAATAACTAAATCTAATAAATCTTTAAAAAGATGAGTCTACTACGATGAAGCATTAAAATGTGAGAAGGGGAACCCAAGCCAGAGGCTTCGAAAGGACCACCACAGGCTCAATCTTTCGAGAGCAGCCCTTCGAGGGTCACGAAGGGTTAAATCTGTCGCCTAGTATTCTAGAAAGAAGCGGAAGGAAGCACCCGGTGTGAACTGCTTTCAACTTAAGCCCTCAAAGTGTACAGACCAGCCAGGGGCAACCAGCACACGCGAGAAGAGCCGCAACTGCAACCCACGTGCTCTCAAGGAGGCTTCTTCTTCGCAAGGGCTCCTCCAGCACCCCGACAAGTCTCCGGCCGCACGCCCACTCCCACGAGCCCTCAGCCCCCTTGTCACGCCACGTGGCGCGGAGAGGGCGTCCCCGGAGCGTAGGGGAGGAGGCGGCGGAGCCCGCCCCGAAGCCCGCCCGCGGCATTATGGGAGTTGTAGTTTCCTCCCGGGAGCAGAGGGCGCAAACTCCTCCTGTTTTGCCTTGTAAGCAGCTTTTCTTGTGTGCGAGTCATCCAAGTAAAGTATGACTCATCTCAGATCCTCAAAAGGGAAGGGAACAAGGCAAGGAATGCCGAACTAAAAGCTTATGGGAGAGGAGGAGAAAGGGTTAACAAGCAGCGCGCCTGCGCACAGAGGGGGCCCAGGGTGGGCGGGGACGGAAAGACGACTCCCGAGAGCCTTGTTTTCCCCGGAAGTGCCTTCCCTCCTCCCGGGTCCGCACGGACGCTGCCGCCTTACCTCATTTGTCCTCGCCCCTCCCCGTCCGTCTACGCGTTTTGGTTCCTGGTTGGTGCTTCCTGGTCGCAGCCGCGGCAGTGAGTATGTGTGTGACGGACCCCGAGCTGCCCGCGGCCCGGGGACCCCTGCTCGTGCTCCGCCTCAGCCGCCGGGCTGTGGAACTAGCGCGTGCCCCCTCGCCGGCCCCCGCGTCCTCCGTCGGTCCCCCTGCGTGTGGCGGGGCGCCCTCACGGCCCCTCGGCCGCCCCACGCGGCTCGGCTGAGGTGGCCGCGAATCCCTGTCCCTTCCAGGCCCGAGGCCGTGGTTCAGGAAGGGCTGGGCGCCGGTGGCGGCGGCGGCGGCGTCTCTGCCTCTGCCTCTCTGACCTGCCGCCCCAGGCATCTCAGGTGTTAGAGAAGCCGCTCGGTCAGTTAAACGCGGAGGTCCCGCCGCGCCGAGGAGGAGTCCGGCCCCTGGAGGAACGGACAGCCTTGGCTGTCGGAAGCTGCACCTTGGCGACCAAAATTTCGGGAACCGTGCCCCTTCCCTCATGCCAGACCAGGAGACGTGGACTGTGTTCCCTAGGACTCCCTCTCGTGCTCACGTCCTGTCAACTTCGGGCATTGAGGAACCTGTGGCTGGGCGGCGGCCGCCTGGGTCCCAGCCCCTGGGCCGCCTCTGGCTCGCTGGAGATTGCAGACGGCCCTTCCCGGGGCAGGATGCGCGTTAGGCTCAGACTGCAGGGTTGAGTGAGGAGAACTTTGAGGACCTTTGGAAGCTCAGGGACCAAGTTTCCCCGAGCCCCCTTCTCCAGGTCTAAAGTGAGAGCGTTGAATTTGCTGACTCTGGGGCCTCTTGAGAAGCTCCTGACTGCGTTTTGAATACGCAGGCGGTCATATACAAGGACTTCTAAGTGGACTAAGTGTGTGTTTAAGACGGTGCTATGCTTTGGGGACCACTTTTTTATTTTATTTTAAAATTTTATTTATTTTTACCTACCGTGGGGACCTCTTAGTGCAGTTTCCGAGGGAATCCGAAGGTGGAGAGTGGAGGGTGACATAATTGGAAGGGAGAAATTTTATGGTAAGAGACTGCATGACAAAAGGGAAACGGGCCGAGCGAAAGGTGCAGGAAGTAGTTCCAGATCGGATTTGTTCCTATAAAAAGCCTTTTGTATCCCAAGAACAGCTGGGGCTTACCTGAATAAATTTAGCATGCTTTTCTTCTACCAAGATACTGTGTTCTGTCTTCCTCTGTTTGTGAACATTGTTTAACATTTGGATTCTCTACCCGAGTTAGATTTGATCCGAAGTAGCAATCACATTTGAAAAACAAATTTTAACCCTATAGTTAATTGTGTTTCAACAGGCACTGTCAGAGCAGCGCACCAAGAGTAGGTCAGAAAATTTCAAGTGTGAACAAGCTATGTATTAATCACTTCCCAATGAAAACCATGCATTTAAACATCAGGCTGTGGGTTGGATTTAAAATCTGGCCGAGGTGGATACCAAGTCATCAAGAAGGAACATCTAGGCTAAAAGTGCTTTGGGTGGAAATTGGAGCAAAATGTCTGAAATAATCGGTAGGTAGACTGTTAACGCAGGATTGGCTTTAGCGGTTGTAAAAGTAAACTCAGAGCTTAAATGAGCCTTAAGTTGTCTACTTAAAAAACAAATTCGTTGAATGAATGCTGCTCCCTCTTTGGAATGGTGAGCACCTTTGCAGTTATCCTCTGTCGCTGTTTTAGATTTGCTGAGCCATTTAAATTCTTAGGTGACTTTCCTGCTGCCATATTTTCAGTGCTCAACTTTGGTCACTGGATTGATAGTCTTGAGTACCACTTTGGGAGGTTCTTGGATGGTACACTGATAGATTTAAAAGTCCTTTTCCTTCCTTCTAATTAAAATGCTTCTTTGATAGTTTTTATAGTCCACTGGGAATGAATGGATGTTTGTGAGGTAAATCTAGGTGTTAGAACCAGTGCAAATATAGCAGTGAAGGGAGTTTTAAAGCATCTTTATATGAAATTATTTGTTTTGAAAATCTTATTTTTAAAATCTTAACACTTGATTGAGAGTCAGGAAAATAGGCCAACATTTGTAGCCGTTTCTTAAACCAGCTGCATATCCCAGATAGGCTTCATTATCTTTTTGGGCCTCAGTTTCCCTGTGCTTGATCGATTCCATGTTTAGGATTTTGTGACTGTCATAGGGACCTTCTGTTATCTAGTTAATAAGTATGCATGGGAATTGTTTACAGTGATTAAAGCCGAGAAAGCCTTCCCAATCAAGGAGGGTGTGTGTGTACATATTTATAAAAATTTGTCTTTGTCCTCTGAGTACACACTTTTTTTTTTTGGAAGTAAATTAAATGCATTTGAGTGTAATTAAATAGTAACATAAACCAAAACAGCCTCAGGCAAACCTTAACCCTGGCATACATAAGCTACATAAATAGAAGAGAGTAGGTTATGCTGAGCACAATTTTCAAGTACAGAAGATACAAAATCCTCTTAAAGGCCATAGGGGCTAAATTGTTAAATTCATTTTTCTACATTTCAGGGAAGGAGATAAATCCTTAGACCCAAGGAAGTCAGTTTTCATTATGGTTCTGTAGTTTATTTTTGGCATACATTCACAGGTGTGCCTATGGCTCTATTCTTAATCCTTTTCCTTTGGGACGGCTCCAAGAGTAGTACAAATTTGTAACTCTGTAATTTAGCTCTTTAATTTTTTCTGTGCTGCACTAGAATTATGTTTTATCTTAAGTCCACACTGGATCCTCAGGATGGATCCAGTGAGGATTTTGAAGAAAGCATAATTCTTTTGACTTCTTTTAGAATTAATTTACCTATTAAATATAAAGGACAGGATTCTTCTTTTATTTGAATTCCTCTGAGGCTAACATTTCAATATAAACTGATAAATGCTATGAGTATTATTCAGTCAGCCACATTCAACCTGTATGACAATAATAGCATAGCAAACTGAAGGACAGTGCAGCAAGGGAACAGATATATTGTACCTTTTAGAAAAACAGAAGGGCATTAAGAGTTGCTTTCTTTATTTTTGGAAAACGAGTCCGTTTTGACTCTTGTTCATTTGACTTTTAGGATCAGCTGTTTGTATTACCAAAACTATCATTACAACCTTCCAACATTTTGGACAGAAAATTGGGAAACTAAGAAAATGACTGGATGGAGGGAACATTTAACCTGATGATTGAGATGCTGGTTGCGTGCCTGCATCCTGTGTCAGTGTGCCTGGATTAAAGTTGCTGGCTTTAGTTCCTGAATCCAACTTCTTTCTGGTGCAGACCTTGAGGGGTAGAAGTGATGGCTCACGTGGTTGGGCTGCTTCCACCTGCACAGGAGACCTGGATTGAGTTCCTGTCTCCTGGTGTCAGCCCTATCTATTGCAGGCATTTGGAGAGTGAACTGGCAGATGGGAGCTCGCTCTCTCTCTCAAATACACATACACACACACAAAATAAATAAATAAAGAAAAGAAAAGAAAATGGCTGTAATTAGATCTGTATAGCTAAAAGTAGATAAAAAATATATTGGTGGTATTAATGTTTTCTAGGCTGTTCCTGATTTTGAACAAGCTACCATGTAGATTTTTGGCTGCTCGTGGGAGAATTTAAGACTTTCAAAAAGGTGAAGACAAGTGAGAAATTTATCAACCATAGTTTCTGTATTTTAGGCACATACTAAATTTACCAGGACAAAAAACAAATGCCTGGTGATATGATGCGTTCATTCATTCATTCATTCATGCAGTCAATAGACCTTTACAGAAGTCTCCCTAAACACTCTGCTTGGCTTTGGTGATCCATTGTTTGCCAAAGTACATATGCATCCTGCCCTCCTGAGGTTTGTGATCTGTGCTTTTGAGAGATGTACATTGAATAATAGGGATGTAATGAGTGTTTTGAAAAGGTAAAGTACGATGGAAGTTTAAAAGGGGCAGTTAATTTAGTCTGGTGGGAAGTATGTTTAAGGTCAGTTGAAAGAAGAGCAGGATTTAATTTTTTTTTTTTTTTTTTTTGACAGGCAGAGTGGACAGTGAGAGAGAGAGACAGAGAGAAAGGTCTTCCTTTGCCGTTGGTTCACCCTCCAATGGCCGCCGCGGCCCGCGCGCTGCGGCCGGTGCACCGCGCTGATCCGATGGCAGGAGCCAGGAGCCAGGTGCTTTTCCTGGTCTCCCATGGGGTGCAGGGCCCAAGCACTTGGGCCATCCTCCACTGCACTCCCTGGCCACAGCAGAGAGCTGGCCTGGAAGAGGGGCAACTGGGACAGAATCCGGCGCCCCAACTGGGACTAGAACCCGGTGTGCCGGCGCCGCTAGGCGGAGGATTAGCCTAGTGAGCCGCGGCGCCGGCCCAGAAGAGCAGGATTTAATAAGCTTACGTTAGGAAAGTGAAGTGTTTCTCTTTATATATTTTTTCTCCAACTTTGCAGTTTTGCCACAGATTTAGATCTTTAGTAAGTTTATATCTCATACATATTTTTATAACACTTTACTATGGAACTGAACAGTTTTAGTAAATATTTTTATGTATTATTTTGGCCAAGAATCAGAAGGCATTGAGAATAATTCTTTAATTGAGACTAAACATCTGCACCCAAAAAGTAAACCTAACAGTGATTCCCTGTTGTGGTTTTTAGTCATAACTGAATCCGTATTTCTGTGTGAGAATGTGTAACTGAAAAGATGATATACAGAACCGAAAGGAAAGAAAAGATGAATGGAAAGAATAGTCAAAGCTCTTGAAATTGTTTTGCAATGTTTAACATTTTGGAGAACAGTTACTTGGTGTCAAGCAGTGCATCTCAACTTGTTTTTCCTTTCCAGTGTATGTATGAAATATATTTCCATTAATACCTATAATTCAAGTTGTTGGTAATAATTTCTCATTTGAGAGGGGTGGGTGTTATTATAGTAGGTCATAAAAAAGGTACTGTAAGAGAAAAAAGATTTTAAAAATGTGTTTATTTGAAGGCTGGCGCCGCGGCTCACTAGGCTAATCCTCTGCCTGCGGTGCTGGCGCCCCAGGTTCTAGTTCTGGTTGGGGCGCTGGATTCTGTCCTGGTCGCTCCTCTTCCAGTCTAGCTCTCTGCTGTGGCCTGGGAAGACAGTGGAGGATGGCCCAGTGCTTGGGTCCTGCACCTGCATGGGAGACCAGGAGGAAGCGCCTGGCTCCTGGCGTTGGATCAGCGCAGCGCGCTGGCCGTAGCAGCCATTTGGGGGGTGAACCAACAGAAGGAAAACCTTTCTCTCTGTCTCTCACTGTCTAACTCTGCCTGTCCAAAAAAAAAAAAAAAAGTTTATTTGAGAGGCAGAGAAAGTGAAAAACAGAAAGCTCCCATCCCCAGGTTCACTACCTCCAATGCCTACAAGAGGACTTGGTCTAGATCTCACACATGGATGGTAGGAACGCAGTTACTTGAACCATCACCTGCTGCCTCCAAGTGTCTATATTATCAGGAAGCTAGAATCAGGAGCTAGAGCTATGAATTCAACCCAGGTACTGCAGTGTGGACTATGGGTGTCCTAGCAGAACATCCTAACTGTTAGGCCAAATGGCTGCCCAAGAAAAAGCTATTTTAATGTGTCTGAAAAAAGTGATGACTTTCACATAATAGTGGGTTCTAACAGGTGAAACTGCACTAACCAGACATGATTAGAGTTTTTAAAATATGCTCTTTGTATGATTTTCTCTTTTACAGCATCAAAGTTACTTTTCATGATGTTTGGTGGCTATGAGTCTATAGAAGCATATGAAGATGACCTTTATCGTGAAGAGTCATCTAGTGAGCTGAGTGTTGATAGTGAGGTGGAATTTCAGCTTTATAGCCAAGTTCATTATGCTCGAGATCTTGGTAATGCCATCAGGGAGGAAGAACATGAAGAAAAGAACTCTGAGGATTGTGAATCATTGAGTAGTAAACCAAATCAGAAGAATCTAATTGTCCTTTCGGATAGTGAAGTCATCCAGCTCTCCGATGGGTCAGAGGTGATCACTTTGTCTGATGAAGACAGTATTTACAGATGTGAAAGAAAGAATGTTAGAGTCCAAGCACAAGGAAAGATCCGTAGTTCTCCTTCTTCTCTTCCTTCAAAGGAGTTGGCTGGTAAGAAATGCAGGAGGAATATTGAGAAGCCTAAACCTGAAGAGAGATCAAATGTGATCCAAGAGGTCATGGTTATAGAAGTCAGTTCAAGTGAAGATGAAGAGAGCATCGTTTCAGAAAGTGATAATGTGGAAAGCTGGATGCTACTGGGATGTGAAGTGGATGATAAAGATGATGATATCCTTCTCAACCTTGTGGGATGTGAAGACTCTGTTACTGAAGGTCAGTATCATACTGGCAATTTTGAAATGTAGTATCATCTTTAATAAGGAGAGAGGATTGCTTTTCCTGGATGAAAGACCAATAGGATCTGCTCCATGGGATTCCTTACCTTTTGGTCTTGTTTTTTGGCTTGTTTCTCATGAGACTTTCTTATCATTGGGTATGCTGATGGTGATCCTCAGAAAATGTCTGCTTCTTCTGTAAGCAGATTCATAGCTGCTTTTTCCTGTTTGGCTAGAGCCAGTTAGGGACCTGAAATCTTAGTTCCCCTTTCTGTGTTTGGTACTGCAGGTGAGTACTCTACCCACCTTTGATGTTGCCCTATACTTTAATTTGGCCAACTCTTTGGGATTGCTGCTAAGTGATTTGCTTCCTCTGAAGTTAACGAGGTACCAAGGATAGGGAATGCCTGGTACATAGAAGATATGAAATTAGTTGTTAGCATTTTAGGAACTCCACAGACATAAGACAGGAAAATATGAAGAGCTGTAAGTAAGTCTAGGTAGATTGTAGGAGAGAATGCAAATTCTGAGGGCCATATCACTAAGGACTTAAATTATATTAGTCTTATCTGTATTACCTGTAGTCATTTAGTCTTAATGGTTATTTCTTTAAAAAATTCCTTTGTTTTCCTTTCCTTCCCTTTATGCTTAATGCTTAGTGTCTTGTAATAGTTTTCTAAATGGTCTTCATTTCTATCTGTCCTGCATGCTGTTGTTAAACTAGTAGTCTTGAAATGCGCTTTTTTTCATGGTACTTTATTGCTGCTCCAGAACCTTTAATGGCACCCTGATGTCCTCAGGAAATTGACATTGAATGTAGATCATGCCTGGATCCCCAGAGGTCAAACTTTCTTTCTTTCTTTTTTTTTTTTTTTTTTAATTTATTTGAGAGGTAGAGAGAGCACATTCCCATTCTGGTTCACTCTGCAAATGCAGTGGCTGGGGCTGGACTGGGCTGAAGCCAGGAACCTGAATACCATCTAAGTCTCTGGTGTGGGTGGCAGGAAGCCGATTACTTGAGCCATCACTGCTGCCTCCAACTCTCTGCATTGCCTGAAGGAAGCTGGAGTCAGGACCCAGAGCCAGTAATGGAACCCAGGCCCTCGTATGTGAGATGTGGGCATCTTAACCACAAGGCTAAACCCTACTCGTGTAAACTTGAGCCAGATAAGAAACATTTTAGGCTTTCAGACATAGAATCTCTTAATTACTCAACGCTGCCTTTGTAGGAAAGGAACTAAAGAAAAGGGGAGTACCTGTTCCAGTAAAACCTTGTATTGGTTCAGGTTGTAGTTTAATGATCCTGAGCATTTGACAGCTAAAGGAAGAAAAGAGAGTAGAGTAGTATTTAGAGCAAAGAGCAGAATCAAGTAAAGTTTTGTCTCAATAAGGGAGCTCTGATAAGGTAGAAGAGAAACTATTGAAGTTTATTGAAGACTAATCTCATTTAATGGATTGAGGTAGGGAAGGGGTTAAGTATGTATGTTGTTGAATTAGTTTTTTTTTTTTTTTTTTTTTTTTTTTAAGATTTATTTAGTTATTTGAAAGGCAGAGTTAGAGAAGCAGGTTTATTCCCCAGATGGCCACAACAGCTGGAACTGTGCTAGGCCAAAGCCAGGAGCTTCATCTGGGTCTTCCAAATGGGTACTAGGGTCTTTTCCTCCTGCTTTCCCAGGTGCATTAGCAGGGAGCTGGATTTGAAGTGGTGTACTTGAGACTTTAACTGTCACTCATGGGATGCTGGAGTGACAGGCAGTGGCTTAACCTGCTTTGCCACAATGTTGGCCCCTGAATTAGTTTTAAAAAGCAAGAGACACACTACTGATTGATAAATCATCAAGTACTTATAAAAGTGGAGAAGAAAGGATAAATTCAGATGAATTGAGGTGGATAAAGAAACATCAGATGTGTTTAATTGTCTTGGGAAAGTGAAAGCAGAAATTGGAGTAAGCAAAGAATAATTAGAACTTAGAGAATGGAAAGGATGTTTAAGTGTTTGCTGTAGGAAATACGCTTAGGCGGTGGTTCCCAATATGTTGAAGGTGACAGCCTCCTAAACAAGGCATTTAGCATTTTAGTTAAGGTGCCTGTATCCCACATCAAAGTGCCTACGTTTGAGTCCTGTCTGTGACTCCTGACTTCAGCTTCCTGCTAATGCAGACCTTGGAAGGCAGAGATGATAGCTCAAGTAATTGGGCTCCTGCCACCCATGTGGGATGCATTCTGGCCCTTGCCTTTGGGAAGTAAACCAGCATATGGGAATTCTCTCTTGCTATCATCTCTCTGCCTCCCAAATAAATAAATAATTTTTAAAAAACCCTAATAGTTTGTAAACTCTCCACAGGATTGTAGTTACATTTTTAGTGTTTGTTAATTGAGAAAATGCATATTAGTGAAAAACTATTCAGTATTCTCCTATACGACTTTCTGTTTTACTAACTACATCGTTGCACATTTGAAAAATGTTAATACATGTATGTAGGATATAGTTTTTATATAATGTATGCTGCTTGATGTCCTTTATAGTAACTAATTCTACAACTTCACAGGAATCCAGAGCTGGTAGGTTGGAAAACATTGTGTTAATGAATATATAATAAGAGAATAAAAGGATTGCTTGGAAGTAATACTCAGTCAAAATCAAAATAATACGAACTTGTAATGAACTCACTTTGAAAATTTCATAAATTTTTTCAGTAATACTTGGCATTTTAGAGCAAAATGACAGAAACCAAGTTATCCAGAGTTAGCTATAACATTATAGAAGGTCAGCTTAATAGGGAGTGTCTTCTTTCTCTAAATGCCTTCCTCTCAGATTACATGTAATATCATTAATTGAGTCTGTATTTATGATGAACAAATTGGCACCTCTTTTTTGTAATGATTTTCTTGAATTCAAGTTCCCCATGTATATCTTGCTGAATAATTTTTTGAGTATATAAGCTGTTGTTTCAGGGTTAACATACTGAAAAGAAAGCTTATTATTTTTTTCTTTGAAACCAGTCCTTTGCTGGTTTAGGAATCTAGAAATGCTGACGTTGATAGCAGAATATATGTAGGTTGGGAAAAATGTGAACCAAGTGTTCAGTTCATTAAGCAACTTGGAACTGTGTTGTGATTGTGGAAAATTATGGCGATAAGAAAGGAAGAAGTTGATTTAATTGGACCTGAAGGGAAAGAAGAATGTTGATAGATGTTGGATGTGTTGGGTTGTGGTGTGGGGGTCATGGCCATTCTCCTTTTTGTTGACAGACAGGGGAGCCAGTTGCAAAAGATAAGGTTTCCGTGAGATAGGGTTACTAGTACTTGATGTTCTTGGCAAAAGGCAGGTTTCATTGATAAAGGGCATGTGGAGGAGGCTCATGTGTTAAAGTTTTATTATGTTTAGTTTGGGTCGTGGAAAGGAAAGGCAGTCTTAAAGGAATTAGCTGTAAAGTGTGGGGAACCTAAGAAAAAAGTTTTAAAATACAGAATGGCAGAGCCGATGTGGCCTAATGGGTTAAGCCACCACCTGCAACACCAGAACCCGTAAGGGCACCATTTGAGACCCTGCTGCTCCTCTTCCTATCTAGCTCCCTGCTAATGTACCTGAGAAAGCAGTCCCTGGCAACCGCTACTCTCCTTTTTGTCTTTATGGGTTTATCTGTTTTGGATATTTCACGTAAATAGAATCATCCAGTACGTGATCTCTAATGTCTGCTCTCTGACTTAGCATAATGCTTTGGAGGTTTATGCACATTAATTGTATGTCAATACTTAAATTACTTTTCAGGGCTGAATAATATTCCATTGCACAGATATACTGCATTTTGCTTATGCATTCATCAGTTGATATTTGGGTTTTGTCCACCTTTTTGGCAATTGTTAATAGTGCTGCTGTGAATGTTTGTGTGCAATTCTTTGAATACCTGTATTTTAGTTCTTTGAGGTATATACCTTTTTGAGCAACCCCCAAACTTTCCCACAGTGGCTATTCCCTTTTACATTCCCACCAGTAGTGTATGATGGTTCCAGTTAACTGTATTTTGTTTGTTTGGTTTTTAAAGATTTATTTGAGAGGCAGAGTTACAGACAGAGAAGGGGAGAGACAGATAGGTCTTCTATCCACTGGTGTACTTCCCAAATGTCTGCAACAGCTGGAGATGGGCTGAACTGAAGGCAGGTGCAAAGAGCTTCTTCTGAGTTTCCCCATGGGTACAGGGGCCAAAAACTTGGCCATAATTCACTGCTTTTCCAGGCACATTAACAGGAAGCTGGATGGGAAGTGGAGCAGCTGGGACTTGAACTGGCTTCTATATGGGATGCTGGCACCTCAGGAGGAGGCTTAGCCTGCTATACCACAACACTGGCCCAAGCATTTTTTTTTTTAAGATTTATTTATTTTTATGAAAGGCAGAGTTAGAGATCTTGCATCCTCTGTATCACTCCCCAGATGGCTGCAGTTTCTGGAACTGGGCTAATCCGAAGCCAGGAGCTTCATCCGGGTCTCCCTTGTGGGTGCAGGGGCCCAAGGACTTGGGCCATCCTCTACTGCCCTCCCAGGCCATAGCAGAGAGCTGGATCGGAAGTGGAGCAGCCCGGAACCAAACCCGCGCCCATATGGGATACTGGCACTTCAGGCCAGGCGTTAACCCACTGTGCCACAGTGCTGGCCCCTGTAATCCTGTTTGTTTGTTTGTTTGTTTTTTTAAATTAATAAGTAATATATTCAATACAGATGCCTGTTTGTGTTTTTAGTCTCTAATGATTATTCTTTTCATAGGTAGTTCTATTTTATGTAATAATCTTCAGAGAGAAGGTTTTTTCATGTTAGTGGAAGTGTGTGGAGATTTTGGCATACTTTAGAAAGGCTAATTGTTAAACAGCATTGATAACTATTGTGTATACCATTCTCCCTCCTTTTGCCAGTTCCTCAAATTATGGCTTTTTTTAAAAAATATTTTTTTAAAGATTTATTTACTGGGGCTGGTGCTGTGGCCTAAGGGGTAAAGTCTCAGA